TTTCCCTTCCCATTCCCTCTTTTTCTGCTATTTATTTGTACTTCTGGACCCCTTGTTCCATTCACCTGAAGAAGTGGGTTGTAATCACAAAAGCTCATGATACTATCTACATTTTTTGTTAGTCTCTAAGGTGCTGCAGGACCATTAGTTGTTTTTTAAGTGCTCTCGCCTGTCTGGAGTGACTTTATGTCCACATTAGAGTAACTTGGATCTAACTCAATTAAAATACAGTAGTGCATGTAACATAGCTGACCTTTAACGAATAAATTTATCATGACAATCTGCATTCTATTAAAAAATTCCCTTTTAGTTTTTCCCTTTAATAAAGGATACCATCACTTGTTTGAAAACCTTTCATACTGAATGAGAAATTGTGAGAGAATCTGATCAAAAATTACATTGAACCACTTTAACAAATGCATTCAGAATGACAGTTGAGCAGTGCTTTTGCATTTAATAATAGTACATCTGCAACTAATTTCATTCCATCAGCCATAAGATGCATTTATGCTGTAGCTATTACATTTTGAGAAGAGTTTAAATTACTAAACTTGAGAGAGCTTCAAAGCAAATCTTAATCTAAGTACCCTGATCTTGATGGCCCAGTTTAAAAAAAAAAATTAAGATGTTTAATAAAAGAGAACTGCCTCAACAGAATGCAGAACCATTGTACTTAATTCAAGTTGTTTTAATTTCCTTTCATAAATCAATGAAATATACCAACCTGGGGGTTCGAGCATTTTATTTCTAGTGACTCAAGGTCGACGTGGAGGCAGACAACAAACGAGTGTCTGGATTCTGGCCCTGAGGCAACTAGTTTTTGTGAAGTGACAGCTAGAGTAGAAGTACAGCCCATGGGTTCTACTAAATTAAGTGTCATTTGTTGTCCAAGAAGAGTATACACACTGAAATGATGTAGACTGATTGTCCAAGGGAAGGCATCACCTGGTGATTAAAGAGAAAAATAGTTTTATAATTGCATAATCTAACTATTAAATTATTATTTTCTCCAACATTATGCAAATAGTAAGTGCTAAATGAAATTCGGAAAGGGCCAAAACACATTGAAGTTAATGGAACTCGTCAATGGGCACTTGGATCAGGTTCCAAATCCTAATTAAATATTCTTTCATATGGCGCCTAGAGATAAAAGAAGACGAAATCTGATTTGAATTTTCACTGTACACTGCAAATGAATCTGGCAGAACAATGTTAAAGGACAATATCTTGTAGATTTACTTGATTTCTCAGCACCATGTTTTTAAAAATCAGTTTGAATACATTAAACCTACGTGAGCACACATCTGCTGTACATGTCTTGTCTTGCCTTATATCAAAGAGATTTTCTTAATTAAGAGATCAGTCACCTTATTTACTTGGAAAGTACCCAGGTCTATATATGAGCAGAACCATATTATATATACACACACATACACACACACACACACACACGTACTAAAACCAGACCTTAGTCACACACAGTCTTTGAATACAACTACTATGGTGAGTAGGCATCATGATGGAGGATTATCATTTTGCAAATTTAATTTTAGGAGTTGAAGGACTGAGATGCAGGAAAGGAGACCTCAGCCTCTAAGAGATGCTGACCAAATCTCAAAGAACAGGAAGATTCAGGTAGGGAATGGTGCACAGGTGTTTCTTATTTTGCATTAAAGTTGTCACTCATTCATTCCTATATAGTGGTCATTCTAACACTTTCAGGAATGCAATATGCATGCCCTTGCCAGCATAACCCCTTCCCTACCAGCATGAACTTGAATTCACAGTGTTCGCAAGTTCATACCACCTGAAGGTGCCATTATGAAAAGTTTACCACATGGCACACACTGGTATCACATTATGTTCGAGGTCATGCTAGGAGAGTGGGGGATGCACAGAGCACTATACAGGCAGTCCCCGGGTTACGTACAAGATAGGGACTGTAGGTTTGTTCTTAAGTTGAATCTGTATGTAAGTCGGAACTGGTGTCCAGATTCAGCCGCTGCTGAAACTGATCAGTTTCAACAGCAGCTGAATCTGGACGCCAGTTCTGACTTACATAGGGTACGTCTACACTACAGTGCTAGTTCGAACTAACTTAGTTCGAATTAGTTAATTCGAACTAAGCTAGTTCGAACTAACGCATCTAGAACTAAAAACTAGTTCGAATTAGCGTTTTGCTAGTTCGAACTAGCAAGTCCACATTGAGTGGACTCTGAACAGGGCTTAAGGATGGCCGGAAGCAGTGCCGGCAGGGCATAAAAGGAGGACTTAGAGCATGGAGATGCTGTCTCAGGCTAGCCGAGGGCTGCGCTTAAAGGGTCCCGACCCCCACCCCGGACACACAGTTCTAAGGGGTGCCCCGCTTGCAAAGAAGTTCTGGCTTGGAGTGCCCTGAGTGCCCACACTGGGCACATCACACCACTCGGCCATCAGCCCGGCTGCACTTGCCGCAGGCTGCCATCTGGGGAGAGGGAGTAATTGGGGGGCTGCAGGAGAGCTTCCACCCCCAGAAGCCCGCAGAGCCAGCCCAGTCCTCCCCATCGGGGGCTCATACCCCATTCCTCCCTCACCTCCTTCCACTTACCCTTCCCTAGCCCCCCTTCTTATTGATGTACAAAATAAAGATAACGTTTCTTCCAACATTGACTCTGTCTTTATTGAAAAAAAACTGGGGGAGACTGGGAAAAGGAGGTGGGAGAGGGGAAGAGAAAGGCTGGGAGAGGGGAGGGCAACTAACATGATCAGGGGTTGGGAACAGGTCCCAGATGAAGAAAGGCTACAGAGACTGGGACTGTTCAGCTTAGAAAAGAGGAGACGGGGGGTCCAGCAAAGCTGCTGGCAGCAGGACTCCCCCCACCTGAGTGGCTTTGCTCGGGTGTCCCTGGGCTGCTGGTGAGCAGACCAGGGAGACCGGGAGAAGCTTTTCTCGCCCCGGAGGACACGGGTGGCGATCCGCTGCCCGTGAGCTCCGGGGCGAGAAAAGCCCCGTTCGTAAGTGCGGATCCGACATAAGTCGGATCCGCGTAAGTCGGGGACTGCCTGTACTTTTCAAAACAGCACCCCATTCAATGTTAGAAAAAACTGAATGTGATTTTGTCCGAGTACTAGATGGGGCCAAATACCAGAAAAGCAAAACTGTTGGATTTAATACTGGATCAATGGCCTGTTTTGCATGGATCTGTATATCACTTCTATTGCCTAAAAGTAAAGAGTGATTGGTTTAGAAATTCTTCTGAAAAGTCTGTTTTATTTGCTCCAACTATCTTGTGTGCCAAAAGGATTAAGCTACTAACCGAGCTATCAGAGTAGAGTAGGGATGGGGTATGTAAGCTATTGGGGCATTTGGATGCTAAAAGGAGTCATAGCTTTTCAATGGGGCCAGTGTTTCACTCTAGATCTTTTTGGAGGAGAATATGAGAAATGAACATTGTAGACCCTCAAAGGTCTGATAAATTCTTACTTTTTCTTCTTTCAGATGATTTATAACAATTATTTGAATTATTACTGGTCTTGAAAATTAATGCAAATATGGTAATTCAACCGGTTTAACAACTTCTTGTTTTTATAAAT